CGGTGAAGCTTTTTAATATCCACAACCAGACCCTTGGGACGGGTGCTCGCAGCACTGTGGAAGCTGCCTCTCATCATCCCCATGAATCTGGGGGCCGCACGGGACTCTCTCGGCATTTCACCATCCCTCGGCACCAATCAGTGAGCTGACACGACGTGCCGCGTTTCCGGCGCTGGGAACTGGGAACTGCTCCACTCACAAATCCCCGCGGTTTGGGCAGCCGGTCCAAGCTCTTTCCATCACTTTCGGCATTTCTTTGGCGATATTGCTTCTCGGTCTCCGTTGCTTTTGACACAAGTGACAGAGTGACAGCCACTTCACACTGCATGTGTCAAAGCCATCAGAACGAGGCAGCCAAGCTTTCCAGCAGATCGTCAGGCACTCTCTGCAGCCAGACCCGATCTGTGTACCGTCACAGTGCGGCCTTTGGACACCCTTCTTTATGCATCCCATATGCATGCCGCGACGGGAATCAACTGACACAGAGCTTCCTCAGTACCACTACACAGCCCTATTCCCTCCTCCCAATCTTCAACGATCTGCACGTCCAGCCGGGCATGTCTCAATCTATTTTTCTATTTTTTGCTCCCCTAGTGTTTTGCGGCGAAGCATCATGTCCGTCTCAACCTTCCCGGAGTATCTCTCCCTCGGCTCCAGATCTTGGGGTCCAAACGTCGCTCCAAAGCTTGTTCCCCCAACTGACCCCACACCCCACAGTTGTGCTGATCAAAACCCACATCGCTGCGTTCACCTACACCTACTCCAGGGAAATAAAGCTTAGCGCAATACAAGCCCCATAAAACTGTGACAAATCTGGGATAGCAATGTTGATCGTCAGCAGCCACATACGTAATATCGAAATTCATCGAATTGTAAGTCACTTTGCTACCAATTTCTATGGCAGGGGTACTTACCAGCTTTTAAGGAAATGCGAACCCGCTCGCGTTGCATCACTGTGACCACACCCACACCACCACCACCACCCACCACCACCCACCACCATGGAAATCAACGCTCTTGTCAACCACAACGATATTCACAATACACCTGCAGCCGAGCGATTTTACCGGCTACGGCTTCAAAGGCTCTCACAGCCTCAATTTCCCACTGGCCCTGGGCCAATTCGAAGAAAACCACGGGCAAAAGAGCTCTCGCGCGATGAAAAAGTAGGCTTACTAAGCACCCACTTCCACCACCTACTTGGCCGTTGACTGACCGACCACAGCATACAATTCAGGTCTTACGAACCAAGGCCAAATGGGACTACTGGGCCATTTGCCGGGCCACAGGCGCGTCGTGGAGCCAAGTTCAAGGTGCCTGTAATTCGCCGTTGACCCCGCGAACCAACCGTCGTGGCCGAAAGCCTTCGCAGTTCACACCCGATGAGAAAGACCGTATTACCCACGCCCTCAATGACGACCCGATCGCTCGCAAGCTAAGATGGGAGGATTTAAGGTGGTATTTGGAAGGATTCGAGCGTTTTCGAGATCAAGCCTTCACCACAGCGATGAGAAAAGCCGGCTTCAAACGCAAGGTCCCACCGCGGAGGATTAAGCTCACTGCCCAACACCGGGAGGCCCGCCTGGCCTTTGCCCGCGAGCAATTGGCACTTCGGCCTTGCCCGGAAGACTGGGAGAGGGTGTTATTCAGTGACGAAACCTGGGCCACTAATAGCCATATGTGGAAAAGGTGGCTTACAATATACGACACTGAAGATATCGGGGCCTGGGCTTCCATACGGCAAAAGCCTCACGGTTGGATGTTTTGGGGGTCGATATGTGGCCCTATGAAAGGACCGTCTTTTGTGTGGGAAAAGGAATATGGGGGTATTAATAGCGAGAAGTATTAGAGGTATATTATCCCTCTTGTTTACCAATTTATTATGGAGAAAAGGGATCAAGGTACTTATGTGGTCTTCTAGCAAGATAATGCCGCGTCTCACTCATCCAGGGCTATACGGGCTCACATTGCTAGCCTGGGAATTGAACAGCTGAACTGGCCGGCAAAGAGCCCTGATTTGAACCCTATCGAGAATGTGTGGTTTTGGATGAAAAATTGGATTGAATTACACTACGACGTCGAAAGGCTCAATTCCAGGGCCTTACGCCCAGCCGTTTAAAGAGCGTGGGAAGCAGTGCCTACTGACTACCTTCAAATTCTGGCTTATAGTATGCCCGGTAGGTTGAAGAAAGTCATTGAAGTGGAAGGCCGGAGCATTGGGTACTAGTATAGGTACTTCGTTTTGTATGGGAAAATGGCTGTTTTGTAAGTACTGTGACTTAGAAAGAAATAGATTAAATATCTAGGTTTTTTCCCTTATGTGGTTAGTAAGTTATACGCTAGGCTCAATTACCCCTGGTATAGGTGTACTCCAGGGAAATAAATCCTAGCGCGATACAAGCCCCACAAAATTGTCGGGGGGGAATGTTGATCTGTGGTAGCTACACACACAAGGCCAGATTTAAAGTCACTTTTCTAGCAATTTCTATAGTAGAGGTACTTCTTAAAATGGGTGGCCAGTGCTACTCCCATTGCTCAATACCACTACTTCTTACCATTACATAACGCTGGACTAAGCTGACCATATTACCATACTAACAAACTACGTATTCAAAGACAATACATGCATTAGATGATATTGGAATATTAATAATGTTAAGATACTTAGTTTTATATAGGAAAACAGGTCTTTTTTAAGTACCGGACTACTAAGGCAATTTCGATAAAATCCTTCTTGTTATACCCTATTTGGTTAGTAAGTCACATGCTAGGATTTATTTCCCTGGAGTAGGTGTTGTCAGAGCATCGCTTTTTTTTGTGATGACGATCCTTCGTCCATCTGCCATTCATTGGGAGGGAGGCCCCGCACTAAATGACACCTCAAGTCTTTCGAGGTGACCATGTCTCGAACCAGCATATGCATATCATGCACGACGTGACGCTTCTTGGGCCTCAAGTGATGGGTCCTCATAATGCAGGCGACTCGGATTTACCATGCCATCGGGTTCATTTGGTTCGGTGAGCTCCAGCCTTGCGTTTCGCCGTCGTCGGTTTTTACCACATGCCTCTCTGATGCAGGGGTGCAACTTGCGTCACCCAACGCTATCCAACATCAACCATTCAAATCTCCTCTCTGATACTCCACTTTCCACATCGATTACCTGCAACTCGCTTTATTTTCAGCTCTCCGCCGCCAAATCCAATCACATGCAGTCCAGCCCCTTCGGGGGAGACTTGCTATACTTAAAAGGTATGGTGGGTCCAAATTGTTATTTTGTCAGTATATTAAAACTAGAATTGTATATACTTCCCTGCTATTTATACGATTTACTTGCTATTGACTTTCTTAACATTTATAGACTTTCCTGGCAACTTTCTTTACTTATTTTATTTACTTCTTTATTTTAGCCATTTTAAAAATTAAGTTACTTTCTATTAACCTTTTAATTATAGACCTTTATAGCAATTTTCCTTAACTATTTTATCTACTTCTTTTATTAAACTATCTTAATAATCGAGGCTTTTAAAATACTATTATTAATGATATTTAAGGCTTTAACTACTTTAATATAGTTAGATTTAAAATTAGGTTATTTTTTTAAGTTTAATACTATAATAGTATAGTTAAATTAAATAATAGTAATAGTATTAGTTAGGTTTTTAATAATTTTAATTGCTTAATAGTAGAAATTTATATATTTAACTTTTAAAGGCATTTTAATTATAAGGCTAATGATAATTTAGCCTTTTTTAGTAATAATAAGTATATTAAGTAATGCTATTTTTATTAAATATAAAGCTTAAAAGGTATAGTTAGTAATATTAATCTTTACCTTTTTAGTAAATAAAGATATATTTATCTCTATTTATACTACTTAAAGGTATAATTAGTATAATATATACTATTTAAGTTACTAGGGTAAGATATAGCTTAAGAGTGCTAATCTCTATATTTAATATAAGCACTGATAATTGTTAAGCTTTTCCGGTATTTTCTATAGTATAAGGCGGCCACTAGCTAACTTAAAAAAGCCTACTTTAGCCAGGTTTAGTCATCAAACATGCAGTCCAGAGGGGAAAGTTCCCCGATTGCTGTGCCGACTTCCCGAGCAAGAAGCCATCTTATGTGTGTGTGTGTGCCCGATGGGGCACCCATCATCAAAACAAAGAAACCCATAGTTCCCTTTGTCTTTTTCTGGTCAGTTTCTCTCAACACTGTATATGATCCCGCCTATTGTGAAAATTTTTCACTGGACCATTCTCTTCGGTTACAATTGGCAAGTTGTCAATTCTTTGTTCTTTTTCTCTTGTTTTGCTGTTGTTGCAGGGAGGGGGGTGTAGGTCCAGAGGAACACGGGCTGGGCTATCACGTCTTTTCTAGGGGCGTTGAGAAAGTTGTTTGTTTGGATTGGTAGAGGGAGGATGATGTTAGTCAAAGGTTCTTGTTGAAGGAGGGTATCTTTGGGGGTTGCATGTCTTTGATGGAGGATTTGGCTGGATCTGTCAAGACTGGTTGGGTAGCGCCGCGCCAGAGGTGAATAGGATTTGTTTTTGGAAGGGTAGAAGGGGAAAGGATGGACTGAAGGTGAGTAGGGGCAACTCCCCTTGCATCGAGTGAGAGGACTGCAAGACGTCCCCTGCACTTCGTGTAGGCAATCCATAGGATTGAAGCCTTGCTTCCCATCACCAACAGTCCTAGTCATGCTCACCTGTTGGTGATCATACGCAAGCAGATATCACCTGCCAATTTCCCCATCTTTCCTCATCTTTCTCTGTCCTTTCTATCCTTAAACCCAAAACAGGCAGCATTTCTCACACTTGCATCCTACCCATCCTTCTTCATCACCATCCCCAGTTCCCTCTACCCCAAACCAACATCCGGCCCCACCCCACCGCAGTGGAGTCACACCAAGCCAGCCCCGGTCCGGACTTCCACACACTCACCTTTCATCCATATAAAAGAAAACTGGCAAAAAATGGGCAAAGAGAAAAAGAAACTGGGGGCCACCCGGGGATTGAACCCGGGACCTCTCGCAAGTTTATATCTCCCAAGGAAGGAAAATAAATCAAACTTTGTAACTATCAGGGTGAACCCTAAGCGAGAATCATACCACTAGACCAGCGGCCCCTTTTTTTGGTTTGCGTGATACCACAACCTCGAAACTGAGGTTATGAGAGTTGCACCACCACCACCACCACCACCACCATCATCACCATCAACGCGGGGCATGTGAATAGGATATCACTCTCGTTTGTTTGTTTGTTTTCTTTCGCTGATGGCCATGTTGTTGTTTTCCAATGCTGGATGGATATCGTGGTTTTTGTCCTTAGCCGCGCCGTATCACTCAACTTGTTAATACAAGAACAACACTGAGCACCAAAGGTGTAAATGCAGCATTGAGGAGCAATAAATTGCAGACGTAATTCCTCTTACTATTTCGTTCAGTTAAGCCACTCAAGTCTCTTATGCTCATCTGTTCCCACCTCGAAAAGTGACAACCAAAATGTAAGCGGAACGGTGCATACAGCCAGATATCCGTGGCAAGCGGTATAATTCGTTTCCACTGTAACCAGCTCTTTTCCTGTCAAGAAGAAATCGAGATATACTTGACACCCAAACTCCAAACCTGAATTGCGTAGGTACAAACCTACCCTTCCTACAGTCCATGTCCCAAACAAATCTCTTCCACATGATACCCGGTGTACATCACCACCACCTAGTTATAATACAGTTACCAAACCTTCTACCCCCCAAAGTCAAACCTTTCCTCAGCATGAGACAGGCGCTTCGGTAGTGTAGTTATATCACACCGTGTAACATCCCTCCTTTAGCCCTTCCCTCACCAGTAACTCTTCTCTTATTATGCGTCTTTACCCCAAATCAACCCACTCCTAACCGGCACCCTCCACCTCTTCCCCCCTTCCCTTCCCCCCTCCCCTCCTCTTTCCCACCCTCCACCCCCTTTTCCCCCCTCTCAACCTCACTCCCCCTCACCCCCCCACCCCCAATAACCCACCTAATCTTCACCCCCCCTCCATTATTCCCCCCCTCTATCTGCCCTTTTTGATCCCCTCTTGTATCCACCCCCTTATCCCCCCTCAACAACCCCCCCTCTCCCTCCCCTCCCACCTCCTCTCCAACCACCTCTCCCTCCACCCCTGTTCATAATTCTCCCCATCCTCTCTATACCCCCCCAACCTCCCCTGCTCCCCCCCACTCTCCCAATCCGTCATCCCCTTCCACCCCAAATCCAACACTTGATCTCTATACCCCCCCTCCAGATGCCTCCGCGCAAAAGTTTTCAACAAATCCTCATCTTCGTGCGGTTCTTCCCCTGCTTGTTGTAGACCCCCAACAGGGTCAACAGAGTCAGAGTCAGAGTCAGTGATACCAGGTATTGTCGCCGCAGTGGAAATGTCGTTTGGCCAGAAGGAGGAGGAGGTGAGATTGTTGGAACTGGCTGCTGTGGTCCATGGTCCAGACAAGGGGGAGAGTCGGCGCTTGTGGGGGTGGTGGGAGGCTTCGAAGATGTCGATGAAGAATTTTTGTGCTTCTTTTTGGGAAGGTTCTTGTTCCCCTTGCCCACCCGATTCGGCTGATTGCTTGGGGGGGTAACGTGCTGATTCTGTCGTCTTTTCCGAGCCATAAGATAACTCCAGCGGTGCCTTCCAGATGAGGTTCTGCGCTGTGGTAGAGTCCGAGGTGACGGAGATGAAGGAGTGTGGTTCCTATTTTACCAATCAGCAAGTGCAAATACTGTGAGAACACGGGGGCTGGGGGGGTTGGGTTGGGGGGTTTGGGGGAGTAAGGGGGCAAAAAACGGAAAGGATCTCAAGAGTAGATGGCAAGGTCGGAAACAATAACAGAAAAGTAAAAAAAAAAAAAAAAAGAGACTTACACCCAACGCCTTAAAAACCTCTATTCTCCCATGCTTCTTCAACACCTTCAAAATGGCTCTCCGCTGTGATAAGTTCTGCGGGGCGGGCCGGACCTTGATAAAGACTGATCTTTTCGACAAGTGCTCACCGCCCAGGAAGGGGGAGGATGTGAGGAGGTTTTTGGGGAGGGCGGATTTTGCTGCCATTTTTTGAGGTGGACAGTTCAGTTTTTCGGGGACATTGACGATATGTGAGATGCTTCGGAATTAACTTGATGACGGGAAATGAAAGAAAGAAACAAATGAGCGAGTTAGGCGGGCGAGTGAGTGAATAGCAGTCGCCAAAGCTCGTCAAGGTGCTTGTCAGATGAGAGATGGAACTCAGTTGATGTCGCCAAGAGTGTGGGGCTGTAAATTTCGGACGCAGAGAACCCTAACCCTTTAATCATTGTTCCCCCGAGTCTCATCACCAAACTGCCATCTGTCTATCACAGAATCCAGGCTCATTCAAGCTTCATGTTAACTCACTCAAAGCTCATTTTATTGTAGTCTGAGTTTGTGATCCTGTTGGGTAGTGATGGAGTGTGATACAGATCCAACTCAACATAACATCACAATGAGCACACAGCACAATGATGTCAACAAATATATGTAACTAACCCAACCAAACCCATCCCTAGCCCCTTCCGCAAGAAAAGAAACCGCAAACCATAACAAGCAAAAGAAAACGTCATCTCACCACCCCTCCTCCCCAGTCCAGCTGTATAGTTCGGTTACCCCCCTTTTGATACCTCGTGCCCTTCTCTTTCCTATATACACCAGGGCGCAGGTCTGTCTCGTATCCAAGTCGCAGAGCGAACCCAGTGTCAACGCGGAGATATGATACACACAGACCCATGGAAGCAGATCTGCCTCTCTGTCTCCAAAATATGGAACTCAGGTGGAAATTATACATTTCCCCTTTCTTGCTTTCTCCCCGTTTATTTGTCCGAGTAACTGACGCCTTTCATGCATCCCTGGTAGAAAAGAACAATAAAAAAGTGACATGTGTGGTCGGATAGTGCGCTCGTGTATCCAACACGGCAAGTTGGTCGAGAAGTAGTAGGGTATCTTGGATCTGCTCCATTTCGGTGATTCCAGTGTGGTGTTGGACTGTTGCGCCCCACCCCTAAATCGATATGTTCGAACGCTTGCTCGGTATGCGATCGGGAACCCTCAAAAGACAAAACTCCTATCCCAGGTCATGAATGTGCAAAATCAAAGAAGCCACATTTAGTGTTCGTATCCGGCACCGCGTTGCCAAGGACTTGGGCTGTTAGAAGTCAGTAAAGCTCTAGGCTATTCATTTACAGGACAAAGCGTACCTAGCATTGTTTTGTTGCCGGAAGGCGCCCGGACCTGGGCTCGAGTTGTTCTGGTGTCTGTAGGGTGGAGAGCCACCGTCAAACGGACTGGGCGCCCGAATCGAGCCCGAGTCTTGGTACCTTGGTGGACTGCGAGGACCGTCGGCAGGGAAGAATGGCATGGACGGGTTGGCTGGAGACTGGGGGCGGTTGCCGTAGCCCTGGGTGCCATTACTCTGGTTAGAGTGAGCGCCAAAGCTCTGGTTGGAGTGAGCGCCAAAGCTCTGGTTGGAGTGAGCGCCAAAGCTCTGGTTGGAGTGAGCAGAGGGCACGCCGAGCCTTTCAGTCTGGCGCCGGAGAGAGTCCGAAGTGATAGATTCGGCATCATCGTCCAAGTCCATGCCCTTATTGAAGCCCTCCTTGCCACCACGAGCCGTGGCCGCGAGCGCGTCCAGCTCTGTAGTCGTCGTGAGGTGCGTTTGTGACTTCATGAACGAGGTTCTGTCGTCCGCCATGTAGGTGTAGCGACCATCCGGGTTGTCGCGGAAGATGACAATGATGGTGGTGACGATGAGCATCAACAACAAAACCAGCGCAAAGGAAGCGTTGGCAATCCACAACACAACACCCACGACGCCAGTAACGAGCTTCGGCTGGTTGAAGACCTCGGTGAAGATCATCAAGAAGAGCGAGTTGATAAAGTTGATGGCGCAGATGGCAATGTTGAAAGAGTTTGTGCTCTTGTCCATCCATGGGCGGAGGACGCTAGCAGCAATCAGGGCGCCGGCTTCAATAATGAGGAAGCCCACCGCCTGAACAGTTCCCGAGTGCTGCCCAAAGGCAATGAACATGGCCTTGAGACCCAAGTAACCGAGATAGGGGAGGATGAAGTAATAGGCAGAGGCCCGGAACTGCACATACAGGAAACCCCACTTGTTGAGTGCCTGGGGGTCCGAGAAGAGGATGTAGGCCGGGTTGTTGTGCATAACGATGGAGCGGCGCGCAATCATTATCACCTTGAACGCGGCCCAGCAGAGCGTAGTCGTCATTCCAAGCAGGAAGAAGACAGCCAGCACCATCAGGGCAGCCGAATCGCTCTGGGTAAACTCCCACAAGCAGAGGATGGACATTGACGGGAATCCAATCAGAGTAAGGCGGAACATGATGCCCTTGAGGACCGTGAGCCAGCCGTTGCGGAAGTCGAGGAACTTGTCGCTATCCATCATCTTGTTCTTGACCGCCACCTCACATGCGCCCTTGAAAGCGGCCACGGAAAGACTGACAAAGATGACCAAGAGGCAGAAAAAGACCAGACCCGTCAGGAAAAGGTTGGTCGATTCAATGCCTGCGCGGAAAGCCACACGCTGGATGCCGTACACGATGTAACTGCCGGAACTGGTCTCAATGTTGGCGCGCCTCACGAGATCCCGCTTCATGGCTGTCGAGAGGGGTTCTGCGATGCTTCTTGGCATCATGGCCACGGAGCGCTTGGCGAGACTGAGCCCAGCTTCGATAAAGTCGAGGGATCGCTTCTCCACCTGCACCGAGACGGTCGTAAGCGAGTCAAAGATGGTGGCCGGAGTGCCGCCAGTAGCCCGCTGATACCAGGTAAAAATGTCCTGCATAAAATCGAGACGGATGATGCCCATGCTCCACTGGAAATCCTGGGTCCACGACATGACAACGGGCGGCAGAGGCACACCAGTGAGGCCAAGCATGGCCTGGGCCTGGAAATACCCAAAGAGTGAAAGGGCGTTGGCGGCGACGTGAGAGGCGGCGTTATAGTGACCGAGACCAGACATGACAGCTGACGATGTGAGAGCCAGACCAGCGACCATGGCGGTTGCCCACTTGACACCAAGCAAATCCACAGTCTTCCCGTTGGAAATATCAGCCTCGACACAAGC